AAAAAAAAAAAAAAAAAAAAAAAAAAAATCAGAAATTTGAAACACTTTGGTCCCAACCATTTTGAATGAAGGATACTCAACCTGTATAATAATTTAGTAGCGTAATGCTTACCAGGATGTCCTTTCCAGCCCACTTGCATTCATCTCTTCTGGTGTAAGATACTGGCCACACAATCTAAGGACAGAGAATAAACATTGTTTTATGTCAAGTAAGTTGTCTCAGAGATCCAACACCATATAGTCTTTTAGATGACATTGAGGCAACTGAAGTAAAGTTTCGTAAAGACTCTTTCAGGAACCTTTCACTTTAGATCTTCCAGTGGCATCAGTTAATTGATGTGAACATAAGTCACTGATTCTCCATCTACCCAGTAGCCTTTGCTGTATAAAAAAGTTGAGCAAGAGAGAAACTGACGCAGACAATAGATCTAAGCTGTGCAGTGTGACAAGAACTGGCACACAGATTGGGAGAGGGAGATCTTCTTGAGAGGATGTGAGAATTTAGTGAAGAGAAGTAGAAACTGGCATAGAATATGGCTCAGATTTTTCTAAATTGGTCTTTATCATGAAATAGTGATTTTGTAATTTTAACATTTGGGTGCTTTGGATACATTTCCCTGAAACAAATCTCAGCATGACATTTTAGAATAAGTAACTGAAAGGATTAAAAAAAAAAATACTTAGAATGGAAACTTCTCTTTTTTCTCCTCTTTACTGTTTTTGTTTTTTTTGGAAAGGGAAAATATTTATAAGTAACATGGTATATGCTAGAGAAATAAAGGTAGATTGAAGAAGCAAATAGATAGCTCTAAAAAACGATTACCCTCTCTAATGTGGGCTAAAAGACTAGTTGAGAAACAATTATTTGTGTATTTATCCCTCATATTTAGTCTTCATCCTTCCAGAAAGTCTCATATTGTGTGAATACAGTGACAGTAGTAGATGAACCATGATGTTAGTGGTGGCTTGGAGGACAGTGGATTCACCCCCCCAACAATATTAATCCAAATACTCCTCTCATTTGATTTTAATATAAAATCCCCTGAGCAATTCCAATGACTCTTATCTGTACAGGGGCAGAACAATTTGTTTTTTATTCATTTTTCCTTTCTAGTAATATTATTAATAGTTAATTTCAGTGGGAAAAAAAGCAAAAAAAAAAAAAACAGAAATGGTGGCACTTAATCATTGGTGTCTGCTGGAAAGCTTTTAGTCTAAAATGACTGATTATCATTCATTTGGGAACCTCTAGATAAATCTTTTTTTTTTTTTTTTTTTTTTGAGACAGAGTCTTGTTCTGTCGCCCAGGCTGGCGTGCAGTGAGTGGCACTATCTCAGCTCACTGCAAGCTCTGCCACCCGGGTTCACACCATTATCCTGCCTCAGCTTCCTGGGTAGCTGGGACTACAGGCACCCGCCGCCACGCCCGGCTAAATTTTTGTATTTTTTAGTAGAGACGGGGTTTCACCGTATTAGCCAGGATGGTCTCGATCTCCTGACCTCGTGATCCACCTGCCTCGGCCTCCCAAAGTTCTGGGATTACAGGGGTGAGCCACAGCTAGAGAATTTGATATAAATGATCATAAACTTGGGCAAAAATAGGATATTCAATCTGGAGAATTACAAAGCAAAACAAAACACATTTACAAACAAGGATTTGGCACATACTGAAGTAATGTATGATGACTTGATAAATGCATTTCAGGTCCATGTCAAAATAGTATGCCCTAAAAATTATTGGATAGGGATAGGCATTTTTTTTTTTTTTTTTTTTTTTTTTTTTTTTTGAGATGCAGTCTCACTCTTGTCACCCAGGCTAGAGTACAGTGGCTGGATCTTGACTAACTGGATAGGTGTTCATTTTTAACATTAAGTTCTAAATTTGAGTATTCTTTCTATTTTATGTGCTTTCCTTTTCACATTTGCCTGCATATGTAAATTAAAATTATAGTTGATTTGTTCCACAGGCTTTTACAAAGTAGTCATATAAAAACATTCAAGATCAGTAAATGTATTGTTCTTATAATTAACATTACTCTGACTGCTGGATTTCTATAATGATTGCTGGGCAATCCTAGCAGTTGAGTCTTCACATTGGATATGGAAAGGCAAGGGGATCTATTTTTATTTAAGGTTTATAATGTAAGAGGGTAAAACATAACTTTTCTCTAGGGCATAACAGTAATAATATATAACAGTTAAGATTTATTGACTTTCATATTCAACTTTCCAGCTAAATTGTGCTGAAATCACTGATTGTTAAAACATATATACGTTTAAAAACAAAGTTACAACATATAAATATATGTATTTTAAAAGACAAGTTATTTTCTCATAGTTTCCTAGCTCTTGTTGCTTAATTGTTGAGACAGCATGGACGTCTTTTTATGATTCTCTGTGATTCTATTATCTAAGGAAAACATTTATAAACAATAATCTGTATAATATTCATGCTAAAAATTCTTAGACCTAAAACGGTCTATTAACTTTCTAGAGTTCCAGGGTTAATAATAATAATAATAATAATAATAACAATTAAAAGTTTAGAAGTCTGACATGAGTAAAATAAATTTTGATGTAGAAATGTTCTTTTGGAGAGCAATTCAATGAGGATAAGTATAAGCCAGTGGAACAAAAGTAAATGTATGTTTAATAGTCTTTTAAGTATTCATTTCCATAAAGAATAATTACTAACATTTTGGTTGCATTTGTTTAACTGTTGGTTGTTGGAATTATCTTTTTATTCTTTGCTCACAAATTTCTCAGTTAACTATCTTAATTTCTTATTCTCATTTTCAAAATGCTTTATAATCTATTTTTTACTTTTTCATCCTTATGCCTCTACACTTCCATTCATGGCAGGCCCACTTACACATGTTAGGTAATAAGCATTTATGCTTTAAAGAGATCGTACCTTTTATCAAAGCCAAGAATCTTTCCACAGTTCTTCCAAACCTGAACATATGTTTTTGCCTCTGAGAGGGATTTGCCTAGTATTTACCCATAAGATTACTAATTTACCTTTACTGCTAACCTTGTAAGGTCATCAAGAATTATTAATAACATCATAAATCTCTTGTAGTGTTCATCACAAAAAATAGGTGCTTAGAAGAAAGCTATTTGAACATTACATATGCTTAGGTTAAAAGGAATATTAAAACACCCCAAATATATGTATAAACAGATCTAATATGTATGTATGTATGTATGTATGTATGTATGTATGTATGTATTTATTTTGAGACAGGGTCTCACTCTATTGCCCAGGCTGGAATGTAGTGGTATGATGACAGCTCACTGCAGCCTTGACCTCCAGGGCAATGATTGCCCTGCCTCAGCCTTTAGGTTAGCTGTGACTACAGGCGTGTGCTACCATGCCCAGCTTATTTGTGTATTTGTTTTTTTGTTTTTTTGTTTTTTTGTTTTGTAGCGACAGGATTTCACTATGTTGCACAGGCTGGTCTCAAACTCCTAGGCTCCGGCAATCTGCAGGCCTTGGCCTCCCAACCTGCTGGGATTACAGGTGTGAGCCACCACATCCAGCTGATATAAATTCTTAAGTAAATTGGGTTCATTTGTATAAACAATGTGACATAATTAAAATTAAATAATCTGTTTGTAATAAGATGTTTTAAAAATTAGAAATATATGTTTTATTGGGCCGGGCGCGGTGGCTCAAGCCTGTAATCCCAGCACTTTGGGAGGTCAAGACAGGC